GAGCCATGGCCTCTCCAGGTAAGGTCGGCAAACGCCACTTCACATACATTGAATTGGTAAAATGGTCAAGATTAGATCTCCAATCTGCCGCAGTCTTGAATGTGTCACTGAATTTGCGACATTGCGTGCCGTAGACCTCGCAGAACGTATGCTCCCATTCAGCTGGATGTCCACTGGTGCCTGTACCATGCCGGCCTTTCGCCGAGCCTTCCACGGTATCTGTCGCACACCGTCCCACCAGGCTCGCGAACGGTACTCGAGAAGTTTGCACACGTGGTCCTCGAAAGCCTGGTCTGGCAAATGGTTCTCGCGCGATCCCTGCATGAACACGGCCCTCCAGACCCGGTGATGAAATAACGGAATGCCATGCTTCTGCGACCAGGCACATATCAGAAGTGAAGTTCGCTGGTTGAACTCCATGTGGCCTTCTCCTGGTTTGCGTCTCATCTTGAAGATTTTTCAGAAAAATTGGAATCCCAACGCTTGGTCTCAGACACTGTCTTTTCGCAAACGTTCCAAGTGCCAGCACCAAACAAAAATCAAGCAGAAGGGCCAGCCTGCCACGAGCGGAGCTTGCACGCGACCGCCCCGCGACCCTTGAAAGAGCTCGCATGCGCCCAGTAGATCTTTCAGCTCTGTGCTTCCTGAGGTCCAAACTGCATGTCGTCGAGACCCTTGCGTTCATCATGTTGCCCAGTACCTCCACCTCGTGGGCGCGGCGAAATACGACCGGCACGTCGTTGAGACCGCATACGTCAAGTTCCATGGACTCGCCGAGCTCCTCGAATGGACTACCAACACAGAGGAATTCCAAAGACGAGTGATTCCATGCCAATTTGTGCGTAGTGAGGGCGATGGTAAGCTCCGTCGCCATATACTTAAGCTGACAAGGCGCTGCGGCGAATATGAAGATATTGTCTGCCCACACCAAATGCGTCAAGAAAGGTACCCCATCTCCTGGTGTAAAGCCGAATCCTCGGCGCAGCCAGTCATCTACCAGTGGCGCCAGTCCTCCTCCTCCTCCTCCTCCTCCTCCTCCTCCTCCTCCCGTCTCCTCTTTCCTCCTCCTCCTCCTCCTACTCCTTCTCCTCCTCCTCCTGTCTTCTCGTTCCTCCGTCCTCCTCCTCCTCCTCCACCTCCTCCTCCTCCTCCTCCACCTCCTCCTCCTCCTCCTCCTCCTCCTCCTCCTTCTCTTCCTCCTCCTCCTCCTCCTTCACGTCCTCCTTCTTCGCCCCGATCTCACAGGTCCTAGCTCCGAGAACTCCCAAGGACATGGCCCTAGGAACCCCCACTGATTGGCCCCCAGGATGTCCAAGAGCTCCCAGAAACCCGCCTCAGAACCCCACCACCCAGTCGTCGCTGACGGCGGGCACCTAGCTGGCGGCGCGTGCAGGGGCGACCCCGACGAAGACGATGACGATGACGACGCCGACGCCGGCGCCGACGCGACGCCGACGACGACGGCTATGACAGATCTACGACGACGACGACGACGACGACCGCTCGAAATCGATCCTCGGACCTCTCCTGGGCCAATTCTGGCAGCTTTCCAGCCTGGGCCGACTTCGGATTTTCCCCAATGAGGCTTGCCTGAGGGGTCTTAGCTTGGTTAAAACTTGGCGCCTCGGACTCTTACGTGGCCCGTCGCTCGGAGGCTCCCCAGGTTCTTCGGGTTCCTCGGGTTCCTCGCCAGACTCGACCGTGCCACGCGTTCGCTGACGCACGCACATGCAACCATGCCACCACGTCGGTCTGCACCATGTCACGCGTGCGGTGATGCTCGCCTCGCAGCCGTGTGGCTCAAGCGCGCCCGAGGGCCCTGGGGGTGCCATCCGCCCGGTCGCGATGCGACCACTCCCACAGAGAGGCGCTGAAGTGCCCGCACCCGGGAACAGCACGGATGTGTTCCGAGAGGTCGACTCGGCGATCCGACGCAAACACTCCAGGCCTCCGGGGTTCCGTGGGGAGGTACCTACTTCACAACCGCCACCGTTACCGGCGCAATTGGAGCACTCCCAGCGAATCACCACAAAGCGAGGGGGTCATTTCGTCGAGATCGCAACGATGGGGACGAAGACGACGACGACGACGACGACGACAAGGGCAAGAAGCGGGGAAACGGAACGAGACGCGACTCCGAGACGAAACGCACGAGGAAAACGTGCTCAGGAGGAGCATTTCCAGAGCACGTTGAAGAACACGCTGTGTGATGGCCTCCAGGCCGGAAGGTCGACGACAAATGCGGGTGCCGGGGCGCTCGGGGGGCTCCTGCGGCGTGTGAAACGGAGCCAGGAAGCGCCAAGAGAGGCCAGAGACGCTCCAAGAGGGTCCCGAGACGCCCAAAGGTCGCTCCAAGACGCCCAGGGTGGCCCTCAAACGGCCCGACGGACCTCGAAGACGGCCCAAGACGTCTCCACAAGGCCCCTCAAGAGAGGCCCAAGACAGGCCCGAGAGGAAAACTCATTGGTGGCAATATTGTTTAGTGGCGCACGGCCCATCTCGCCATCGTGCTTTGGTTGTGGATTGGAAGCCTCGTGGATGTGAGTATGGATCTCGCAAGAGGCCTGTCGGGAGCTTCTGGGAGGCAGTTTGAAGCCTCTCGATGGCCGTTTGGGGGGCCACTTGGGGCGTCCTCTGGGCCTCTGGGGGGCCCTCGCGGGGCCGTGGGGCCTCTCGGGGGCGTCATGGGACCTCCTGTCGGGGAGACGTAAGACCCGGGTACGGGGGACTCGGAAATCCCCGACGAGGTCGTCAAAAAAATGACGAGGCCGAGCCTGCATTTTGACGAGGACTCCCGCTGCAGACATCCCACGAAACTCCTCCTCGTCAAAATCCGAGTCGCGGTCGTCAAAAAACGATGGCGAACCCGAGTCCCGGCAAACCCGGGTCTTACGCTCCCCCGATCCTGGGCGGCGTCTTGGGGCGAGACGCTCGGATTGCGGGCTCGTGTTGCCCTCTCTTGGGCCCTTCTTGGGGCCGTCTTGGGGCTCTCGCAGGCCGTCTTGCACGCAGCTTGGGCAGCTTTGGAGCCGCCTTGGCCGATCTTGGGGCCCTTTTGAAGCCTCTTGGGCCGTCTTGGAGCGATATTGGGCGCCTCTTGGGCTGTCCTGGAGCGTGGGAAGCTCGAAAAGACAACGACGTGAAACATATCGAGAACACACCATGTAAACCAATGAGTTTTGCATCGTGGGGCCCTCAAGAGAGTCCTCTTGGGCCGTCTCGGTGCGGTCTTGGGGTCCTCTTGGGGCCATTCTGGGCGTCTTGGAGCGCTCTTGGGCTGTCTTGGAGGCCTCTTGGACCGCTCTTGGAGCTCTCTCGGCGCCTTCTGGGGGCGTCTTTAGCCTCCCTGCGCAAACCCGGAGCGCTCCCCGGGCCCCGGGGCCCTCATGGCGAGTCGAGGGGCCGCCCTGGGAGCCACCAGCCCTGTCTCCCAATGTGTATGTGTATGCGTGTATGCGTGTGTGTGTGATTACATTTGTATGGCTACACATGTGTGCGGGTGTGTGCATGAGTGTGGACAATGTGAATCCACCACGCGCTTCGCGCGGGCTCAAGTTCTACTGGCCGTGTGGCCTAGCGTGCGCATATCGTGGGTGAGGGGTCGTGCCCAAATACAAGGGAGCCGCAAGTTTCGAAGCCAGCGTGTCCGTTGCTGAAGGCGCGAAGGGCTCGGGTTTGGGTGAGGGTCGCACGGTTGATTGCAAATGCACAATCGCGCATACAAACGCACCTGTAAGTATACATGCTCCCCGTTACTGTATCCCCCGCCCCCCCCCGCCAGCCAAGGTATGAGGTGGGGCAGGGGGAACTGGGTGGGGAGGCGGGGCAAGGAGACGGAGGACGCAGGGAGGAGGGATGGGGGACGAAGGAGGAGGGAACGAGGAGGCAAGATGAGGACGAGGATTCGGAGAGGCAGGGAGGAGCGCGTGATGGGGCGAGGCGACGCAAAAGGGGACGCTGCTCTGCTCTCCTCCCGCTTCTCCGCGCTCCCGCTCTGCTCCCGCTGGCGCGCCCACCCCACCGCCATCATGGGAGACCGCTCCCCGGCGCCTTCCGCCCCCCAGGACCACACAGGGGGGCCGGGGGGAGGCGACGGAGAGACGCCAGCAGCGGTGGCGGCGGTCGAAGCACAACGGGGGCGTAGAAGGGCAACAGGCAGGAGTGAGGAGGAGGAGGAGGAGGAGGAGGAGGAGGAGGAGGAAGAGGAGGAGGAGGAGGAGGAGGAGGAGGAGGAGGAGGAGGAGGAGGAGACAGGAAGCGCACAGCGCTACGCGTCAGAAGCGCTGCGGCCCGCGCGCCCAGCGTCGGAGCCGCAGGGCCGTCCGCCCCGCGCCGCGCCGCGCGCGCATCGAATTCGTGAATGCGCGCGGCTCTGCACGTGACTGTCGGAGCGCGATTCCCCCGAGGCAGCGCTGCTGGCGCCTCAGCCAAGGAGGCACGCGACAGAATACCGACTGCACCATGCGCAAAACATCCGCAGCACGCGCTGCCAGCACACCGCACACACCGGGCCCGGCAGGCTCACCGACAGTGCCAGGCACAGTGCGCATGCCGCACAAGCTGCGCAGACCGGCTGCTGCAGGCGCACCTCGTGCACCAGGAGCTCCTCGTCTCTGGGGCGTCCTGGGGGCCTTCAGTCTTGGAGCGTCTTGGGGGCCTTTTTTTCCCTGCACCTCTGGTCAGGCAGGCGCCTCCACCACGAAGACGGGGCAGATGCCGACCCGCCTAGCAGATCAGCGCCATATGCTAGGGAATCTACGGCGAGGCCCACCCCGAGCAGCACGGACAAGAGGGATCAGCGGGGAGGGGAGCAGTGGACTGAAGGTAACGCATTCGCAGAACGACAGCATGCTGCGCCTGCCAAAGGTAGGACGGCACAGCCGGCCGCTCCAATTAGGGCATGCCGCTGCAAAGAACATTCGCACGTCGGCAGTGCGTAAACAAGAAACAATGTTACATTGACGCCGGCATGGGGAGATTGGACAGACAGAGCCAGGCGGTCAAGCAACGTTCGGCACGCAAGAGCCAAACGGGGACTGGTCGCATGGGACAAAAAACTGCGGGTCTACGGTGACCGTGATTTTCGTGCTCTCGTCTGGGCATATTGTCAAGAGGTGGTCGGACAGGATGCTTAGGACTGCCATGCAGGACTCCAACTCAAAAGGCACCTCAACCTCTCTGGGATGCCCCGCGACCTGCCACATCACAAACACGTCGCCGTCCGGACCGCCTGCAGTGGGCTTGTAGTGAAGCGCGTATACTTGGGTCTCCATTGCATTACCGATCGCTCTCTCGAAGCGCCTCGGCGCCACGAACCTCTGAACAGTTCGGGCGGCGAAGAAAGCCAGCTTCCGCTGCCTTGGGGGCCACGAGACGCTGGCGTTTGCCTCATCTGCCTCGTCGATGCTGGCGAGGATGGAGCCGTAATTCATCTCCGCCTCTCTCGGGTCGTCGCCGTCGTTCTGCCAGTTGTACCAGATGCTGAGGGCGATGCGGCTCATGTCGTTGACGAGCCATTGCCTGACCAACCGGCTCGCCTGCGTGCGGAGAGACACCACCTCGCCGACGCCTCCGCCCTGGCTCGGGCACTTGACCGGCACGTGGCCGCCGCAAGCAGCCCAACCCCACTCGCTGCTGACGAGGGCGGGCTCGACCTTCTCGGCAGGGATCATGTTCCGCACCAGCGACCGCAACTTCTGGTAATCCTCGTACACGCGCTCGGGGCCCTCCTTCCTGTAGGGGTGCACGGAGATGCCGTCCAGCCACTGCAGGGCGCCCGTGGCCCCAACGCTCTCGAGCCAGTCAAAATCCACTCCAGAGGTGGCGGGGCCGATCAAGACCTCTCCCGCGATCTCCTTGTCCGCGCGGATCGCCCTGCCGAGCCGGTTCAGCAGGTCGGCGTACCCGACGACTGACTCGTGACGAAACTTGCCAAAGCTCGCCCAGAAGCCGTTCGGCTCATTGTACAGTTCCCAGATGATGCCACGGTCTCGGTAGCGGCGCAGTGCGGCGATCGCGTACAGAACGAAGGCCTCGCGGCACTCCCTGGTGAAAGGGTGGTCCTCGCAGCCCTCGTACAGGGGGTTGCCGTAGTCGAGGATGAACAACGGTCGCACGCCCTTCGCGCTGAAAGCGTCCGCCAACACGTCGACACGGGTCCAGTTGTACTCCCCGCGAGGCCCCGCCTCGATCTTGCGCCAGAAGAGGTCCATGCGCGCGACCCTGAAGGCCTCCGACATCTGCGCAACCTTCGGGGAGACGTAAGACCCGGGTACGGGGGACTCGGAAATCCCCGACGAGGTCGTCAAAAAAATGACGAGGCCGAGCCTGCATTTTGACGAGGCCTCCCGCTGCAGACATCCCACGAAACTCCTCCTCGTCAAAATCCGAGTCGCGGTCGTCAAAAAACGATGGCGAGCCCGAGTCCCGGCAAACCCGGGTCTTACGCTCCCCCGAAACCTCGCCAGGCGGCGGCTCCGAGAAGTTCACGAAGTGCACGTTGACGCCGAACCTCCCCGCGCCGAGGCCCTCCAGCCAGCGCACCCGGCCCGCCGCCCGGGCGTCGGCGAAGCGCGGGCTGCAGTCCCCCCTCGGCCGAGCCGCCGGGGCACCCCCGCTCGGCGCCGTGGCTGCCGCGAGCACGGATCGGGTCGGGCGAAAGGGGGGGATAGCAAAGGGGGGGTTAGAGAATCAGCTCACGTAGCTGATTTTCCCGGCGCCTCCCGGCGCCGGAGGCGGCCATGTATCGAGGAATGGGCCCCTCGGTGGGGCCGAAACCAGCTGCATGCAGCAAATTTCGTAACCCCCCCTTTCCCTATCCCCCCCTTTCGCCCGGCCCGAACGGAGGCGGTGGCCGCCGCTGCCTCCGCCGGGGCGTCTGTGCCTCTGGGGGCCGCCGCGGGGTCCCACAGCCACAGGTCGAAGGGGGTGCCGTTCCTGCAGCGCTCCAGGCGCACGGCGGTGCGGAGGTAGCACCTCGTGGACGCGCCGGGGAGGACCGCGAAGGCCTCGCAGGTCGGCATGCGGTTCCTGCACCGCTGCCTGCATTCGTCAACGCTGAACGCCGACCTCCCGTCGATCACGCCGTCGGCGCCGTTGTCGTCGCCGAACGTGTCCGACCCATGCCCAGGAAAGCAGTGGTAGCCCTTGTGGAGGACGAAATCCCCGCCTCGGCCTTCGTCCTCGGCGGACAGGCTGCTGCAACGCTCGAGGCGCCACGCTGGCATCTCAGCACCGGCGTCAGGGCCAGGGCTGCGCGTGGTGAGGCTGCCCAACACCTTGTTCCACCAGTCGGCGGGCGCTGGCGCCAGCCACTGCTGCTTCCGCTCGGCCTCGCGGCACGGCAGCCCGGCGGTCCTGCTGTGGTTCCTCTGGAAGACGGCAGGCCCAGAGGTCAGCCAGCAGGTGAGGCCCCTCTCGGAGGAGGGAGAGTCCGTGGCCCAGGCAGAGCAGCTGGAGCACTCCGAGCACAGCTGACCGCACACGTCGTCGGAGAGCACCGCGAGCGTCGAGTTGCAGGCCGGCTCGTAGTCCAGGTCCGCGATGCCGACGCCGAACGCCTGCTCGCCGCACGCTTGAGGCGCCACCGCCTCCGGCAGACCGTGGAGGAGCGCCGGCGCCGTCGACGGCGCGAGGAGAAGCGGGTCGCGCCCGCGTGCCTCCAGCGCCTGCCGCCTGCCCGCAGGCGGCGACGTCGCCTGCAGCACCTGCCGCTCGCCCCCGGGCGCCGCCGCCGCCCCGGGCCGCCGCAGCGGGCGCGGCGCGGCGAGGCAGAGGCCCAGCAGCCCGAGGGCGGCGAGCGCCGCGGCCGCGAGCGCCGCGGCGGCGCAGGGGCGCACCCCGCGGCCGGGCGGGCCCGCGCGCGCCTCCTCCTCGGCCGCGGGGTCCGCGGGCAGCGCGTCGAAGCCCGCGCCCGGGCGGCCCGCCTCGGGGGCGCGGGCCCACATCGGCGACCGCGCGCCTGGGCCCTCGCGGAGGCGGCGCCGGCAGGCTGCGGTGGGGCCCCTTTGGGCCGCCCGGCACGCCCCGAGCGGAGGCCCGCGCACGAGAGGCTTGAGCCAAGACGGCTACGGGAGCGTCTTGGGGGCCTTCCGGGGGGCGCCCTCTTGGGCCCTCAGGGGCCGTCTCCGCGCGCGCGGTGGCCCTCTGAAAGCGTTCCTGGGCTCTCTTGGGGCCGTCTCGGGGCGTTCTTGGAACATCTCGGGGCGCACTTAGGCCGCCCGGGGCCGTACTGGGGCTCTCTTGCGCCGTGCTGGGGCCAGTTTGGGGTTGTCCTGGTCCGTCTTGGGACCCTCTTGAGTGCTTCCTTAAGCGCTCCTGGACTCTCTCTACCTACACAGGCCCTTTTTCGGCATTCACCGACAAAAAATAAAGAAAATTACCAGAAATCAGAAAACGTCTTCAAATGTTCCTGTGGTCATCGCCTCCTGGAGGTCCTCTGGAGGCGCCTCTTGGATCTTCTTTGGTGTCCCTGGAGACGTGTAGGAGCTGTCTTGGGACACGCGCTGCTTGGGCTCTCTCGTGGCTTTTTGGAGTCCTCTGGGAAGGGGGAAAGCCCCAGGCGCCCTTGTTCGGGGATCTACTGACCTGGGTCAATCCAGACCCGGGTCAGTCGGGCTCTGCAGGATCGGATCCTGCAAAATCCTGCAGGATCCTGCACGCAAGCCCTGGCCAATGCGCCCCTGGCTCTGCAGAATCCTGCACGATCTGCCGCCCGGGCTGACCCCCGTTTGCATTGACCCCCGTCTGATGGGGTTGTTTCCCATCACCACCACCATAAGTTGGACGGGGGAAGAGGGGGAGGAGGAGGAGGAGGAGGAGGACGAGGAGGAGGAGGAGGAGGAGGAGGAGGAGGAGGAGGAGGACCCCCTCCCCCTCCAACTTGTGGTGGTGGTGATTATGGAAAACAGGCCCATCACCGTCGACTTGTGGCCACGTCGAGGCCTCTGGTGAGGCCCCAGGCAGGCGCCGGGAGGGGGTCGAGAATTCTGGTGCCCCCGGGGGAAGGGCTGTCCAGGAGGGTGGGCTGGCCCTGCGGTGAGGCCCCCAGTGCCCAGGCACGCATGCATGGACACGTATTTATGCATTTACAAATGGTATCCCAGACCCCCTCGGGCAACGAAAAAATCATGGTTGCAGCAGTTGCAGTGTCAAGTCTCCAGTGTTACAGCCCTTTTTCCTGCTTCCCACTGTGAGTTAAGAAAGTCCGCGCAGGGGGGGGGCCCAAACCGCCCGATTTACCACGCCTGGATCGCATTCTCTGGGTTCATGGGGGGTGGGACACGTAAAAATATAAGATTCGCGTACCCGGGGCCATACTCCCTTGTAAATTACACCATAGTCGCATCCCCGAAGCCACAAACCCTTGTAAATGACTCAATGTCTTGCGTCCCCAAGGCAACAAACTATTGTACATTACGCAATACTCGTGCCCCCGAACCAGCAAACCCTATTACACAATGTTGGCGTCCCCGAAGCCGTAAGCCTTTGCGAAGTGCACCACCTTGGCATTGCCCAGGCCAAGAGTGCTCCAACGCGCCCGAAGATGGTTCCAAGACGGCCCGAGAAGCCCAAAGAGGCCCCAAGAGCGCTCCAAGAGGCCTCCCGAGATAGCCCCAAGAGGCCCAAATCGTAGATTTGACAAAAGTTTTTGAATGACCTTCTCGCATGTTCGGATTACCGACACTCCAAGACGGCTCAAGAAGCTCCCAAGACCGCCCCGAGACAGCACATCACGCCTCCAAGAGGGCTCCAAGACGGCCTTAGAGGGCTCCAAGATGGCCCTAGAGGCGCTCAAGATGGCCCAAGAGGGCCCCAAGAAGGCCCCAAGAGGGGCCCAAGCAAGGGACCACGAACCGAAAATTCGAGATGTGTGCCCCGAGAAGCCCTCAGGAGGCCCCAAGAGGCTGCCAAGACGCCCCAAGAGGCGCCCAAGACGCTCCCAAGAGGCCTCCAAAAGGTCCAAAAGATACCCCACGAGGCCCCCGGAGGCCCCCAAGAGGCGCCCAAATCGCCCCAACCTCCTCCACGTGTTCCCCGAAAGCTTTCCTAACCGATTCGGGGAGCACTCGTTCCGAAAGGTTGGCAAGGATCTGACCCAACCTTCGGCCAGCAGGACCAAAGACGCATCAAAAAGCTCACAAGAGCCCCAAGGGGCCCCGAACACGCTCATTCCTCACTCTCCTCCTTGTCCCCGTCCTCCCCCACGTTTTCCCCGAAGGCTTTCCAAACCGACTCGGGGAACACATGGTCCGATAGCTTGGCAGGGCTCTGGCCTCAACGTTCGGCCACATAGGCGCTTCCGAACGGGCAGGGGGCGGCGGTGACTCGCCGTAGGCGTCTTCGATAACGCCAACGTCTCAATATGCGCTGATGTTTCCCATCCGCCCCCGCATGATGTTCTCAGATGTGCCAAGGCACCGCCGAGACGCCCCGAAGCGACTCTGATGTATCCCATTATGATAGAGAGGGCCTGCGGCAGGGGGCGAAGCCCTTACGGTTAATAAAGAACGCTCACTCTCTCTCTCTCTCTCTCATCACCGTCCCCAGAATAATGGATGATGAGGGCGGAGCGGGGACGGCGGGGAGAGAAGGGGTAGAGGAGGAAAGAGGTCGAGACGACGGAGGAAGATGATGAGGCGGTTTGGGACACGCAGCGGTCAGCAGCAGCGGGAGATACGAGGACGCATCGCAAAGAACAGAAGAGCAACGCCCTTCGATGAGGAGGGGAGGATGCGAGGCAGACGGTGCTCCTGACAGAACCTAGCAAGCCATTGTCGCAAAAGGGCTCGGGCAGCTCGGGCAACGTGCAAAAGGGCATCGGCTCGATTAGCTCGCGCGTCCCCAGATGAGCTCAGGGCTTGCAGGGAGCCAGAGACAAGGCTTTTCTGGGTGCTACCCTTCTCCCGCGTCCGTGTGGGCACCGTTTCAACGGCGTCTGAACTCGGTCCCGAGGCTTGCCAGGGTTTTCTCCCAGGTCCCAGCCCCTGGTCTTGGTCTGCCTGGAATAACGCCTTGGAGGGGCTCGGGTGATCTGCCTGGTGGGTCACCTTCTTCTGCTGTGACGTGAGAGGCGGCGATGAGGCAACACGGCCGACTCGCGATACAAGCATAGCGCACGATGAGTCATGGGTGCAGGTGTGTAGCAGGAGGGGGTGACCGAGCGGTCAGGCTACAGCGACTGGGAGAAGGGCGGCATCGCGCGCGCACGCCCTGGAGCGAGAGGCGACACTGCAACAAT